CGGTCTATGCAGAGGCCAGACTGCAAAGCCATGGATGGATTCTCAGAAATCATTAAGCCCAGAGCTTCTGATCATGCAACATGTGGGTAAGTTGGGGACTGAAGGAGGCATGCAGCTCACCCATGGTTCCCAGTAAGGCAGCTAGTGGAGTGGAGCATCGCCTGAGTGCTCAGTGGGCAGAGCTCACCAAGCTCATTAGCATTTACTCTGAGGGACTCGGTGCAGCTACCACATTCATTTGCTAGGGCTAACAGAGTGAAACATCACAGATTAGGTGATTAACTAACACAAGCTTATTTCTCATATCTCCAGAGATACTCATTCAAGATCAGGTGTTACTTTCCTTATGTTTCTCCCAATGGTTGTCCCGCTGTGCCTGGGAAGATCCTGGTGTCACTTAATCTCCCTTCCTAGCAGGACACAAAGTAGACTGGATTAATGTCACCCTTGCAACTTCATTTGAACTCCATTCTTTATTTAAAGGTCCCATAGCTAAACACAGGTCCAACCTGAGGTCCCTATAGTACAAGCTTCAGTACTGAGGTTTGGGAGAGATATGGGTTAAAACCTTGATTAGTCACATTTTCCAGTCTCATTTCCTTCTTCAGTTAAGGATGCTTCTATCCCTAAGTTCTGGACCACAAGAGACAGGCAGAAGCAAAATATGTCATTTTAAGACAAGGCCAGTGAGTCAATCTCACACAAGCCTCCGTGTGCTCAATCTAACTCCACCAACAAACTGAGGTCAGTAAAGGACTCCATGAAACAAGAAAAATGCACGGTCACTGATGGAAAGAAACTGGAGCCCTGATTGATCAGATGCACCCCTCATTCTCCACCTAGGAATTTTCAGTGGACTGAAGCCACGCATGCTGCCAAGATCTGGGGAACATTTCTTTCAGTAGACAGACTTTCCTGATAAACATACGCAGCTTACTACCTCATAATCTTTCTACCACATATCAATGGCCATCAAATTTTAGACTGATATCAGTTTCCCAGTGAGTGATGCAGGTGGGCTGTGGCAAAAAGAAAAAAATGCATTTTCCCTTCCTGGGGTAGCAGGCATCTTGGCATGTATAGATAGACGCCTGGAACCTTCGCTGACTTACAGACTCCTAAGGGGTCCTCCAGCCCCTTCCCTACAAAGGCGAGGAACTGGGAGGAGAAGGGAAGGCGTAGATAATAATGATCCCTTTCTTATTTAAACAGGCCACTTTTCTTCCAAATAATGCATTTTTGTCAGCTCAAATATCCCCCTTTGATAGAAACTTGAAAATAATTAGCCCTAATAGGGCTGCTATGAATAACGCTGCGCAAGGAGGAGGTAGCTCTTAATAGGAGTTTTCTACTCCCAGCCAAGCCACCTTCGTGGCCCCCTCCCTGCCAAAAGAAATGTAACAAGGAAAAGATTATAGGTTCAGAACCACTCAGGGAGAAATATATATTTGGAATAAATGCACAAAATCCTTTAAAAACAGCACACGATGAAGACTTTGTGTTTAGTTTGATTTGCTTTCCAAATCACACAGGTTGCACAGTTGCAAACAATGTTTAAACAAGTACAACCCCTGAGAAGTGTGGAGAGATTTAAGGGAAATAAAAGCAAGATCAGCCAGCCTGTAATCTTCTTTTCTCTTTTTTTCCTCCCCAAAGCTGCATTAAATTGCCTATTGAGAACAATAACATATTTGTGCTTTTATAGGTAGAATGATTGGTATTATGCAAAGATTTGGCTAACAGTCTGAAGGCACATTTACACTGATCAAGACTTCATGCTGTTAATAATTTTCAGGATGCTCAGGGAACCCACAATTCCCTTGGACTGCAACTTAGGAGGTCAATGTGAACTTTGCAGGAGCACCTAGAGAGTCTAAGTCATTGTTGCAGAGCCAAACCGACCAATAAGACTTGAGGAACCCCATTCCAAAGAGGGTCTTGAAGTACTAAGTGTAACTCAAGACCCACTTCTAGGCATGATTAGATGCAATGGCTCATCTGGAACAGACCGTCAACTTGAAAAGGATCACCTTGAAATTTAATCCTGCACCTCAGGTTCATGGGGTCACACCTGCCTTCCAATAAACATGGAGAGGTTATGTTATCCTAGAAGAGAAACTTAAAGGAAACACACATGCACATACACAGAGATACATACACACAACTACCCTTGGTGTGCATAGGAGAAACACAGTGTGGTTCCTAATGGTACTCAGAATAAATTTGACAGAGAACTACACAGTTTGTGATAGGAATAATTTGAAGAATACAGAGAAAACAAGAAAAATATTAGTTGGAAAGTAATGTTTAATATACAGAAGCCATGGAGAAGGAAGGAGAGGAAAATGGGAGGTTGTAACGTTGGCATATGGGAGTACACAGGAATGATTTTCTTGGTTAACATCTGTCTTCGTTAGGCCTTGTTGTTGTGAACAGACACCATGACCATGGTAACTTTTATAGAGGAAAGCATTTAATTGGGGCTGGCTTACAGTTTCAGAGGGTCTGTCCATTGTTGTCTTGGTAGGGAGCATGGTGACATTCAGGAAGACATGGTACTGGACAAGGAGCTGAAGTTTACATCCAAATCATCAGACAGCAGGAAGAGAGAGACACTGGGCCTTGCTTGAACTTCTGAAACCTTAAAGTACACACCCAATGACACAATTCCTCCAACAAGACTATACCTACTCTAACAGGTCACATGTCTTACATCTTTCAAATATCCAAACCACCACAATGTACTTTAATAGAATTATTCCACTATTTTTTAAATATACCAAAATAAAACGAAATGAAATAGTTCCTTGGCCTTTAATCTCTGAATAACACAGAGATGCCTATGCTCCAACGTTCAAAGGCAAGCTGGGATATAGCTCCAAGGCCCCATTTTAGAAAATTTAGGAATCTATTCCCCAAAACTAGTTTTGGATTGTTTTAATTGGCTATGTGGACAAACCCTGCCAGAACAACCCCAGGCCACCCATTCCAGGGGAGACATGGAAAAGTCTGTTGTACACAAGTGTGCAAGGACACAGAGTCGGGGATCTCCACCCCAGAGATGCGCTTTGACACCCTGCTGACAAGGAGCAGCAGGGACAGCACTGGACGTCTTTGAAGACACACAGGAGCTTCTAAATACAAAGGCATGACAAGGCAGCGTGGAGCAGTTCACATCCTTCTCTAGGAAGAAGGAGGGACGGAGTAAACCAAGCATTTGGAACACCGCTGCCTTTGAGACGTAAGTGGGGCACTCATCCTCTCGTACATCCCACAAAGATGACCATAGGCCCAGGAGGGGCTCAAATGTCCAAATCGCTCCTGGAGCTCAGGGTATATTATCAGTGTAGATTTGCCTTAATGAACTCGTCAACAACAAAAAGAATTTTTAAAGAACTGATTTTTGTAAGCATATTAAGGATTTAATATTTTAGTTTATCTGTTTACCGTGTATGTGAGCATGGGTATATGTGCCTATGTGTGTACGGGTCCCACCAAGCTGAAGCTGGAGGCCTTTGTCGAGCACTTGGCTCCATATATGGCTGCTGGGATTTAAACCCCTACCAGTGCCCAGCTTGTGTTCCTAACTGCTGCGTCACCGCTCCAGACCCCAATTGATTGGTTCTTAACTGAACCACTACTATGGGCTCTTTGTCACTATTAACATACATCCATTTGGCAGCTGGTACTGTCTCCACCATGACACAGTTTCAAAGTCAGAGAAATGGGGGGGGGGAGGTTTGTCCAAGGTCACCTTTAACTGCTGGCCAGGGATCCAAATACCCAGTCCTTGGACGGAGGCTCTCAGCACTGTTACTCTTCTTTCTGATACACTTTGGGGACTGATCACGGGGTACTTTTGCACAGAGTCTATAATTAGTTGTCTGGTCCCAGTTGCTAGCAGGGTAAACAAGGTCTGATAAACCCACAGCACTGTAAGTATTTATTACACTGCAACCCAGCTGCCAACTGCCTAACCATTTTAATAAAAAGCTATTTTCTAAGGTTTATGTTTTATTGCGTGTATGACTCCCTTATTGGTTAGCATTTTGGAGTTGTGGAAAAGGTTATGAATTTAGAAACTGGCTGCATTCATATCATATTTAAAACTTAATGCTATTTTATTAAAGACATATGGGCCTCTAAAGTACACATATTAAATGTCATGTAAGAAAAGTAGCAGTTTAAATCATGGTCAAGTTCATTTTTGACGTGACTCCTGAGGCTTCCCAAGATCTGAACTATTTCTTTGTAAATCTGGCAGTTTAACCACACTCATAAATCACTTTCAAAGTGTATTATTTCTTAATTTCACTGCATTAGAGCGTGTTTGGCCTACATGCTGAACTGTTTGTAGCAGGTACATGAACAAAGTCGCACATTAATCCCACAGTGCTTGGGAGAAGAAGAAGGAGGAGAGGGGAAGGGAGAGAAGAGGGAAAATCCTTGCCTCCCGGCTTTGTTTTCTTCCCACTGAACGTATTTTTTTTCAACAAACACAATCCCTCATCTTCCTGCTCAGCCTCTCTCATCTGAGTGCAAGCTGCACGCTGGCCATGGAATTTTTCTTAATACAAGGAAGGAACGAATCCTTTGTAACTTAATCTTTTCCCAAACAGCCCATGACTAAAAATTAGAATGCATGTAGAAATCAGGCACACTTTTTACACATTATACTTAGCAGATACACTTTTTTAAATGTGGCTTTGTGTAATTTAGCACTTGGCTGCTTTGTAATTATCCCAAGATCTGCTATCTCCACCTTGGGGTTCAAAGCCCGTCTAAAGATGAGATGATATTCTTTGAACATGGGTAATAAGTCCCCTACCTCACCGCTCCCCCCAGCCTTTTCTACTCTGCTTTGTGGCTGAAGGGAGCCTGATCCCAATGACAGATTCCAGGATCTAAACCTCAACCTTGACGTCCAGATTTGCCAAGGGAGTTGGAGGGGGATTAGGAGAGTTGAGTCCGAGGTCATCCAAATGAAAGGGCTTAAGGGCTTATTTCAACATCAGGCATCCTTCTGCTGAGCTGGGGCTATGAGGAGACTTCCCTGCAGCTGTCCTGTCTACCAGGACTGTGTCCATTGTCCTCTCAAGTATATCAGTGACCTGCAGCCTCTTCTGCAGTCCATACTCCTGAACCTTGAAGGCTTCCTTGGACCTGCATACCTCCCGCCACCTAGGGAACAAATGATTTGCTCTGTGGTAGAGACTCACCAATTCAGCAGCCTAGTCCTCCCCAGGAAGAATGTAAGGTCTACTTTCTCCCTTCCTATTCAGAAAATAGATGCTCAGTGAAAGTCTTCCAAATTATTCCCTAAAAGATAAATCTTAGAAAACTCAGTGAAGACGTGTTGGGTAGGGACGGGGCTCTCCATTAGAGGCTGAAACGTGTCCTACACAAATTACACAAATTCACTTGTTAAACATTAAAATCTAATGTGACTATGTCTAGAGACACAGCTCCAAGGAAATCAGTATGGTTAAAAGAAGTCTTGATCCAATAGGGTTGTAGTTTATAACAACAAGAAAAGATACTATTTTTTGTTTTCTCCACATGTAGACATGATATGAACATAAGGAACGATAGGGTAGTTATTTATAATGCCAGGAAGAGGGCCAATACTGAACCATGCTAGCATCCCAATATTAGAATTTGAGCGCTGTAAGAAAATGAAGTCATGTTTGTTTGGCCTCTTGAGTTTGAGACATTTTCTTATGCATCTGAGCTGACTGGTGTACATCGACATATCCCAACAACTATTGTAAACCAAAAGTATCCTCTCAATGTCATGTCACAGACTGTTTTGAAATGGCACAACTAGGAACATTAGCTGTCAATCTCATGCCCGAAAGAGAGTGCCAGCCCTGCCCACAGACTATATCGCTTTATCCTCACAATAGACTCTGAAGGACACACTGTAGCATCTGCCTTCACAATGGAAAGCCAGGTAGAATGAGGTATCGGTCATCCTGTGTTCTAACATTGAGTACAACCCTGAAATGTGGAGAATACCCACCTTCTCCAGGGAGCAGCAAGTCCAACAGAGCCCACAGACATGGAAGGATGTGTAGGTATTTTGTGGAGTACAGCAGCAACTATCTATTCAGAACATAAACCCTCCCCAAAGACTAGCTAAAGGCAACTTCTTGAACCATGTCAAGAACAAAAACCAAAGCTGAGTATGTGGGAGGAATGGACAGGTCACTCAGCCAGAGAGCCTCTGTGACACCCCAGAGTGCCTAACAACAACAAAAAAGCAAGAGGAGACACATGTACATTTCAGTCGTGAGTTAAAAGATTCATTAAGTACAAGCCCCACCTCAAATTCGACACATCAAGAAAGAAATTGTGTGTGTATGTGTGTGTGTGTGAGAGAGAGAGAGCGAGACAGACAGACAGACACACACACACACACACACACACACACACACACACACACGGAGCCTAGTCAGAGAGCATTAGTTTGCTGTTGAAAAGAAATAATGAGCTTTAATTCAGGTAATGTAGCTCAAAATTTACTGTCATATTTTAAGAAGCTCATGAAAAATAAAATTATCCTAAAGCTTCTTGGTGAAAAGGCTGCGTAAGCCTGCTCTTGCTGACAACGGCACTGGGTGTGGCTCAATTTACACCACACGCAGACAAGCACCAGGCCTTACCGATGGCACCTGTCTGCTCCTTTCAAATGCTCTGTGGGGGAACAGAGGAGCAGATGGAAGGGCAAGCTGTTCCACCAGCCTTTGGGGACCCCAAGTTTACCTGCTAGACAATATCCTATCTTCACACACACACACACACACACACACACACACACACACACAAAACCAGTACCCTGAAAACTGCCTTTTAAACACATCCAGGAAGATGGGGTAGCTTTTTTTTTTATTATGAACTGAGTTTCTGGAAGTGTTGGGGATTGAACCCAGGGATTCACACATGCTATGTGAGAACTCTAAGTAAGCTCCTACCCAAAGCTGCTTCTCTCTCTCTTTTTGCTACCCCATTATATGTTTGGGGGTGGGGGGATGTCAGGGATCTGGAAATGGAGCTCACAGCCTTACACATACCAGGCAATCCCTCTATTGCTGAACCACCCTCAACGTCTTGTCTTCAACTTTATGAAGATGTTTATTTTGTCTGGGTTGGATTGCCCAAGATCATCTGCTGTTTTATCCTACTCACCAACTTGTTCAGGGTTAATAACAGAGTAGCACAACCCTCTTCCAACCCTCACTTTTTGTGAGTGTTTTTCCCTACCTTCTTCTTAAACTTCTCTCATCTGCTGCTAATAAAAGGTGATTTGGAAGTGAGCAGGACACCCAGATGGGCTTGTGCCACCTTCATATTGCCATTCATCTGCCATGCCAACATGTTATGTTAATGTGCAAGTGCCAGTGTCCAGCTACTAGCTTCAGAATGATGTGATGATTTGCCCCTGGGGCCTGGCATCTCTGTGGTTGAGCATTGGCCTACCCATTCTATAGGTCACAGAAAAAGCTTGATTATCTATCCTACAGTATGCTGTGTCCGTGGACCCAGGGAGACTTTCCAAGCACAGCAGAGCTCCATGAAGACATGGAGTCCAGAAGGATCTCCAGTACGTACAGCCCTGGCAGGGGGCACCAGTGCCATCATGATCATCCTTAATATGATCTTGCTTACAGCACTCACTGACTCTTTCCTCTGTTAAAGATAAGCTGCCCCCACATTCCCAACCCTCTTCCTCACCATGGCCTGCAATCTGAGGATGACGTCCGTCAGGGTGGAAAGAACACATTAAACATAACGTTTCACTCAAGCTCGTTAGACAGCTGGGCTTGGAGAGAAGACCCTTATACTATGGCCCAACGCTACGCATCCAACATGGGGTATGGTTAGTGTAGTTTGGGGAGGGTGGTGTAAGCTTCAGTGCAGCCACGTGGCTTGATTAACTAAGCATTTGGGAGGAAAGCATTTTTATTTGCTTTCCCGTCCCTTCTCCTCTCTTCTAAGTTTAATTTTTAAAAATAGTCAGAATCCTAACCTGTAACACTTCAGAAACCCTCTTTTCTAATGGATCAAGTGATGAAGGACCAGGGCTGGATTCCTAGCACTTAGAGGATGGTTTGAAACCATCTATAACTCCAGGTCAAGTGGATCAGATGCCATCTCCTGTCCTACACCAGCTGCAGGCCCGCGCAGGTCATACATACATTCAGGCAAACATGCATGCACATAATTTAAAAACAAATAGATCTCAGTGGACTGAAGAGCAATCAAGCTGGAACTGTGCAGATTATTGACATAGGTGATACTTAAAGATCCAAGCTCAGTAGCAGCAATTGCACCAATGGGAACCTTTCCGAGCCCAGTTAAGATCATAAGCTTAAAGTCACCTTAGATACTAAAGTCACAGATCCCACAGGGGAAAGAATATTTTGAGTAAGAACATGCCAAAGGACATTTGAGAATGTCAGGACTCATATCCAGGACAGTCACTATGAGATCTCTGATACCTTTGGCCTTCTCCTCACTTTTGCCTCTGAGTACCTTATCACCCCTTCCCTACCAACACACACACACACCACCACTACCACCACTGCCACCACAGATATTTCCCACAATCCTTGGGACAAAAGGCTCTCAGTTCCACCTCTTTGACCCCAGTGGCTACCTAAGCACCAACACCAGGCTGGGTGTTTTTCAGTGCCAGGTGATGTCAGACCTGATTACACTCCTTGGTCCACACAAAGCTCAACTGACTCCTCTCTCCAATACCCAAGAACCCAAAAAGCACACGGTTCAACCATTCCTGCTTCTCTAACCCTAGCTAAGGTGGGTCATCCTTACCCTCAGAGGGAATCACAGAGTAGCCTGACACCTGGAGCCTTCCGTTGCCTGCTTCCTCAGTCTCTGTATGACCCATGTGTGTCACTAAAGGGCTCAGGGAATGGAGTCATAGTATCAGCATGGGAATCACGCAGAAATCCTTGCAGCCTTCTTCCTATTGCTTTCCCTGATCTTTTGGTCCAGCCTCCATACTTCTCCATACCTGATCTATAAAATTTATGATATATAATGGGAAGATCCCAAGGTTTGAAGTTGACTGTCCTAAAACAAGAAATAAAAGAAGAGAATCATGAGCTGTGGGGCACGGACAGATCCAAGGGACACCCTCGTCATCTCCCTGCTACATGAATCGAGATGGGCATCGTTTCCAATTGTCAGTTTTCTCAGTCACAGATTTGAGACAAGGGGGAAATGAGACATGTACTAAGTAAGTAGTTAATAAAGCCAGGAGGCAGTGAACACTGGGTGCATGCTAGGTGCTGTTTGAACTAACACCAGGAAACTTTCTAGTGCTTAGTAAAGTACTACTATGTGGTCAGGCAGCTCTTAGACAGGCCTTGCTATCCTCAGGAGCACCAGGAAGTCTGTTGGAATTAGTGGTACAGACTGTACTCTCCAAAGTTTTTTCAGAATCAGAGGGAAGCTTCAGAGGAAGAAACATGTGGATGGGAAGGTATCCATGTATCGGACAGGTTTTTCAGCCATTCTTGGCTCTGTCTTGGTGGCTTGCAATAATCATTCCTTCCTTATGCATAGGTCTATAATAGACTGCACAGGTTTCGGTTTCAGGCTATGGGTTGGGTTCAGGTTTGCTCAGTGTGCCTCTCATGTTATTCTCCTAGTTGACGGCAAACTTACAAAGGCAGTGAGTAGAAACACAGGGCGTTTCAGGTCTTGACCAAGAATTGACAGGTTGTCACTTTCACTCACATATCATTGGCCACATCATTAAATGACCAAGACCAAGGTCAGTAGATAAGAGAAAGGTATTTCCATTACAGTAGCTTCCATAGCAAAAACAGAGAGAAGGACACCACTGATTTTAGACAAAATACACTCTGGCACACTTCTCCCAAATACTGGATTCCAGACTGAGTGCAGTTCCTAACAGTCTTTATTTCATCATTCATGTGATTCTCTTGTCTTATGTCTATTCAAACACCTTTGAAGAAAATGGTCACTTCAGAAAACAGACAACAGGCCAAGTGAATCAGTCTACGAGAATATTGGGAAACTATTGGCTCTGTTGGAAACATGATACCTTTTCTCAAATCTTGGCGTCCATGAAAAGCAGTTTCTATAGTATGCTCAGAGGATTCTAGAAGAACCTATAGTTTGTATCCTTGATGGCTAACGCTGATTGTCAACTTCTTCATGGGTTGTAGAACCTCCAAAGAAGCAAGAATCTCAGCATGACTGTGGGGGACTTTGTAGATTATGTGAACTGGGGTGGAAGGAGCCACCATAAATATGAGCAGGAACATTACATCCAGTTCTGGTGTTCAAAAAAGAAAGATGCTAGCTAAGTACCAATATTCATCTCTCTCTTCTTCCTCGTGTGGATGCCTCAAGCCCCGAGCCTCATGCCTTCCCTGTCATAATAGACTAGACCCCGAAACTGTGAGCCACCACAAACACTTGTTTTCTTACTTTGCCTTTGTCACAGATGCATGTAACCTCTGACATCCCCACTGTGAGGTTCAGATCTCTCTCTGAAGGTGCTGTTCCTGCTCCTGCCTGTCTGTGCTTTCAGCGCCTTGCTGCCCCCCATGCAAGGCTATGAAGACTGCCCCCAAAGAACAGTGTTCTGAAGGCATTTACTCAAGACAGGAGGTGCTACAATGTGAAGAAACAGATCTGTGGATCCATCAGTGATTTCCCCTTCAAATGAATGTGACCATCAGTAGAATCAGGGACAATAATGAACCGCAAATGTTTGCCTTCCAACACTGTTTCTAAACATATTGCTTAAGCATTTTCAAAAAAGAAATTAATTAAAAATTTTTCCTTCTCTTTAAAAGTAACTAAAAATAGAATTTGAGTGTGTTTCAAGACAAGAAACATCTGTGCAGAAACAAAACACAGAACACAAACACAGTTAGGTACTTAGAAACATCCAGAAAATCAAATGACATTTATAGCTTTTTTCTGGATATTTGGGACTGAAGAGAACTTTGAACATGTATTGACTAAATATCAATTTAACTACATGAATTGTATATGTGTCTTACAAAATTTGTTCACGGGAAGATCTAGGTTTATATAAAATATAGTTTAGATGTTAATGTTTTTGTAAATCTCGAGGTGGTCTCTGATTGACTTTTTATTTTAAGTTTTACTAATCAATTTATTTTATGTGTATGGATGTTTTGCCCAAGTGTATGTGTTTGTGCTATAAGTGTATCTAGTGCCAATACAGGCCAGTGTAGGCATCCAATAACCTGGAACTAGAGTTACAGACCATTGTAAGCCAGCACTTGGGTGTTGAGGATAAAACATTTCTTACCTGCAGAGCCATCTCGCAGCCCTTTGATAACCTTTTTATATATTTGTACTCGGGTTAAAAGAGGGTAACTGAAGAGATCAAAGACATACGTACATTATTTTAGAATAACATAGAATATATGAAAACACTAGGTTAGGCATCAAAATAACCATATTTTATGACCAAAGCAAGCCACTCAGCAGGGTTCCATTAAAGTGCAGCTAGCCACCATGGCAGCAGTCACAGCAAGGAGAGATCACTGTTCAGTTTCCTGTAGATTTGTGTGGCCCGCACATACTTCTGAGAAAAGCTACTGCTTAGTTTCCAAAGCCCTGCTACAAGGAGGTGTGTTCCGACAGGAGGGAAAGTTGGGGAACACATTCAAGAATGGGCTATAGAGTTACAGACCACACCCATGCTTCTCCTAGAAGTGCTGCTCAATGGGACAGCGGGGGGACAGACAGCATGACCACCACAGGTCTTCACATCAGCTCTGGGTAGATCTGGAAACTCACCACCTAAGGCAAGAGTCTTTTCTGCATCTGATGGTCACACTTGGGCCGCAGAATGACTCTCTTGAAAGGCTTTGCTGCCTGTGGTTCCTGACTTTATAAGGGCTGGCTGAGTCCCTGCTATAGGCCAAGCCTCTGTGCTGCAAGATGGAAGAACACAGGCCCAGTTCACAGCTTCAGGGAGCTAGTAACCTGGAAATGGGTGGTTTCCTCACCAACAAAAACTGTATTCTCTTAATTCCACTTCCTGTCTTTACCGTACATTGTCTTTCCCATAGAAACGCCTAAAGACAAGAAGAAAAACAAACTGACTTTACATAGGAGAATTTTTACCTGACCAGAAATGTCGAGATTGGGACTGTATAGAGTGGTCATAGGACCAGGGAATTCTTGGTCACAAGGAACAGTCAATGTGTAGTTTAGGATAAGAATTGAACATATTTCAGTAGGTGCATTGAAATTTATTCCTTTGCGAATTTCTTGTCTCGCCCTCTCTTTCTCCCCCTTTTTCTTTCCTCTCCTCTCCTCCCACCTCACCTCTCTGAATATCTGAAGACACAATAGTCACAAAGTAGGCAAAAGTTTACTCATATACCAGATACACATCACACACACTGGGAACCAGCCATGCTACAAAAGGAATGTAGAATACTGGTTCACATCAAGATTCAAACATTTATATTAACCACACTTTCACTGTAAGGAAATGACCAGAGAAACAAGTAAAATCATATGGACCTAAATGCTTTCCATGATGCTCAGACAGTGTGCCCTGTGTCTAGGCCCCCCGTGGTCCCTCTACGGTTCTAAAGATTAAACAGGCGGCAGCCAACTTGGTGTAGATGCATGTAAACAAGAGGGCTCGGCTTTAAATAATTATGTCAAAGAAATGACAACTGTGCTCTTTGCCAGAACAGGGATGAATAATTACAAAGCCAGGACATAATTAAGCAATTGTGACTGTCGGGATGTTGAGCTGTTTCTCTGATGTGCAGGGCTGGTTGTGTCGCCATACGCGCCCTCCTGGACAGGCTTCTGTGTTCCTTTGATCTTCGTTTCCCAGAGCAGCCATGGGGGTCACGGTCTGGTCATTCCAGATGCTTCTCACTGGGGGCCCTGAGCTTCTCGGTGTCTACTACAGTGCTCGCTCTATCAACAATGGTGCGATTCGATGGCCAACATTTGACAAAGATAGATATTTCTTTAAAATTCGGGAAATGAGTAAATCCTAGCTGTCACAGGTCCATTAAATGTTCACGCACACACACACACACACACACACACACACACACACACACGTGTGCCTGTGTGTCTGAAAAAGCCCACTGTAACTATTACCATTTCTCACAAATGGCAGCATCTTTCTTTCCATAGAGCAATGCAAACACAGAGGAAAGACAGATTTGAATCAACAAAGGCAAAGTGCAGTCGCAGAGACACTGTGGCATCAGGAGCAAGAGCTGGAAAGAACTTGGCTTCAAGTGTCCAGGCCTGCTAGGTACCAAGTCAGACCCTGGTGACACAGGCAGCCGGCTAGTTCCTGGCTGGCTTTGTGTTTGTGTCAGCCAAGAATACCCAGTCTGCCTGTGCCCTATCTCGAAGGCAAGGGCTGTGATTGGAGAGGTGTTTTCCGTTCTCCCAAATACTTCATGTCAGGAATAAAATGAAAACAGCTCCCCAAATCACGACCTCCTTGGTCATCCATCAGAACTTTGTGCTGAATAAGCACAACAGGCCCCTGCTGCCCCAGAAAGGACAGAAGTCAACTTGAGATTCTGATTCTGTTATGAAAAATAGGGTCTTCAGCAAGTGTGCATGACACAGCCCCAGCACTCTGAGGGAAGGCAACTGCTTTCCACTGAGGAGCCAACTGCAGGGGTACACATGCCTCCCAGAACATACATATGTATACATACAGATATTGGACGGACATATATACCTGCATAGGAACAAGCATGTGTCTGTACACAAGGCAAGCAGACAAGAAGCAGCCTTCTGAATGCCAGTTTATTAATTCAGCAAAGAACTCATTTGGCTTTCTTCTATCTGCAGGAAAAACACCACTGCATGTCTCAGAAAATAACAGACAAAAGCGAATTGCCTGCCATTCATCAGACATGTGCAATATGAAAACCAGTAATAGCGTGGGATCATCTTTGAATCTTGAAAGATCATCACACAACGCACTTCGCCAGAATCCCCACAACCGCAGGCCTCTTCAGGACCTTAAGCTTCTGCCACTCTCCCAGAGGGGTTTCTGAGGTCCTCTCTAGCTGGGAAAGAGAAGGCAAGATCCCCATGTTGCTTTGCCAAGGGTATTTTTGTGTCTCCCCTGAAATAATTAATGGGCATTTTTAAGTGTAATACAGTTAGTCAGGGCATTAGAGTCAATCACACAAACATGTGCTGATTCTATAATTGATTGGAAGCTAACTGAGAACTCTAAAGAGCACCACCGCTGTTGTCGCTAACGACTCAGACAGCTTCCTTCCCCATCATGCTCAAAGAAGAGGGATTCCAGCTCTCCCTTATCTCCACACAGCAAAACAGTCCATCCCTACTTGTCTTCCTTCTTCAGGCTCTCCTGGGAACTTTCCTGTTTGCCAAAACAACCCCAGGGGAAAATACTGATCTCTCTCTCTCTCTCTCTCTCTCTCTCTCTCTCTCTCTCTCTCTCTCTCCAAGGCTAAAACAGCAGAGTAAGAAGAGACCAGGCCCCATAAGGGTAAAATTCCAGCTCAGGAATTCATGATGGTGCCCTTGGGGCAACCCCACGAACTGCTCTGAGTCAGTGATCCTTTCTTCCATGTGTCAGGGTTCTGAGACATGGAACCTTGGGAGTCAGGCACATGTAGAATACAACATCCCAGTGCAAGGCCAGCTAGTTAGGACTTCATCAGATTTCCATGGGCAGTGTTACAGCTTCCAGTCCCAAAGCAAATGAGGAAAAAAAGAATAAGAGATCTGCTCAGTGCAGTGTAGGCGTGGGGGTGAGAAAGACAGGAGGGCCAGGATCTGAGCCCAGTGATCACAAAGACTTCCTCTGCTGCATTGGTGGAGGTTGGTGATGCTGCTGACTCTGATATCCTAAGGAAAGAGGAGAAAAAGGGAGAAAGGAAAGAAGGGAGAAAGAAAAGAAGCCAAGAGATAAATTCTTTCATTTGGACAAAATGGCAAAAGCTGGAATAACTAAAGGCAGTCATGTGCACTATGTCAGGCCGATGCTCCAATAAGGAGAACTGTTAACACTTTAATAGCTATGAAATGAATCACTCAATTAATTCTCCACATGCTGAAACAGGTAACAATACATTTATCTGCCAGAATTATACTCTCCATATCATATATTTCCACAACTGTTAGCAATTTCATTCAGCATAACAGGAAATCAGTCGCACCTCATGGATTCAGGGCAAGAAGTGGCCCGAGCTCTGCTGCCAACAGCATAGCTTGATGGACGAGCTCTCATTGTTCTGCTCTGTTTTGGCGCTGTTTGGCTTTGCTTCCCAGCTTAATCACTTCCAATGCATGTATAGAGGGCTATAAGTCACCGGCTGAGGACAAACTAGGCCTTCAGGATTCCTGTGCCAGCATTTTTAACACAGAGCTACAATTTCATGTGTGGTAATTAAGGAGCTGCATGGTGCTCCAGGGCAGTGAAGTTTCTAGGAAGGTGTTGTCATCAGGGTCATGGAATCTACTTGCCAGGCACAGACTTCTTAGAAGGGTCCAGATGTCTCTCAGAAAGACTACTGTGAATACCCTTCGAACTTCCTTGTGTCTGAATCCAGGACTCCAAATGAACTCTCTCAATAAACCCTGTATGTAGAGAGCATGCAGCATCCCAACACACACACACACACACACACACACACACACACACACACACAGCCAGAAAACACTACCTACTGTGATAAGGGTTCCTCAGGGGAGTGGAACACCCTTCATCTCTGATAGAAGGAAATTACCCCATTTTAGTAGCAAGAAATAAGAGCTCCCTCCAAAGGACAAAAGGGATTGTAACCACCCCATAAACACAAAATTCCCAGAGTATTCTTTGTCAGCCATAGAACTGCTGAGAAGAAAGCACTGAGGAGGCCTAAAAACCACCACTAGACCTTGACAGAGCTTTTTCCACATTTCCATCCATCTCCATTACCATCCCATTGCTCTGCTAAGATGCCACAGCCAAGGGAAATTACCGAAGAAACTGATTTCTGCAGGCTTAGAGTTTCAGAAGGTGAGTCCATGACAACCATGCCAGGGAGCATGGCTGCAATCAGGTAGGCATGGCAGTGGGCAACAGCTGAGTGCTTACTTTCTGATCCACATAACTGGAAATGGTGAAAAGCCCACAGTCCCAGTCACATATTCTGTCACTAAGGCCACACTTCCTAATCCTTCCCAAACAGTTCTACCACATGGAGACCAGTATTCAAAGACATGAGTCTATGGGAGCCACTCTTATTTAAATAACCACAGTGTCTAACAAATAATGTCTCTTCAGATAAAGTGACAGGAAGACTCAAATTACATCCAGCCAACTGCATGACTGGTCAGCTCGGCATCTGTGAGTGACCCCTGGTGTGTAGTCACAACTGCATGCGAAATGCACAGGAAGACATTACCCATGCTCCTCAGAGCAATTAATAGAGGAAGAAAAGTGGACAAGAGCAGCTCACCTTGGGCTTCACCACTTTCATGAAGGCCCCTCTCACCAATGCCTCCTCCCGTTCTTGTCTGGTGACTTTCTGGGCATCCAGAAACTTCAAATTGGGCAACTTGTGCAGAACAAAACACCTGGGAGAACAAGGCAGAAACAATTCAAGAAGGTTGGAGTGACAGCCTCAGGGATGTGGGTAATGTGACTGAACCTTGCGAGTCTATGCAAGGCTCTAAAGATTTAGATCTTAGCCACTATCTTCCTACCTCTCCCCCACAGATTTTCTTCTTTTGGGGAAATTTGAAGGGTTCTGTACTTTATACTGACATACAACCAAACTTGAGTAAAAATTGTGCTTGGCCCAAGCATGGATGCACAACTCATTAGAACTAGCCTACTAGCAGGAACATGACAATGTATTCCTTTCTTCAATCCTGAGAAATAAGCCCCACTTCAACAGGGAAAGTTCCCAGTAAGAGTAACATAAACCTTGATCGGTTGTACCATATATGCATCTGCCATTAATAGGAAACATGTGTATCACTCTCATTATTGATACAATAGATCTGCAAATTGGAGCTGAGGCTGGAGGCCAGAATTTCCCAGATAGGACCTTAAATGAGACCTAATAAGCTGGATGGCTTTGGGGTAGAAGTAGGGCATGCCCATAGCTGAAAACTGCTTCACAGATGACTCAAGACCGTTTTCAGTACTTTCTGTCATCATTTCTGGGTGATTTTCACTATGCAGTACAGAGATGATCTTTATCAAGGACAAACAGGAAGCAGAGAAAATTTCTAGGGTATCTTAATATCCAGAAAATACAGGGTGGCCTCTGTTCCCTTATAAAGAATCATTAGTACCCCTGATAGACCACCAAGGATAAGCCAATGGCTATATGTGTGATGAATTGCTCTCAAATGGATGTGTGTAAAGGGTATTGACAAGAAGATGCCCTTGGCCAGGGTATATGTTTATAAGTGTATAAACATATAGACACTTGTCTCTACTTTCTTGCTTCCCATCAACACCACACTCTATCTCTATCACATGAGCACTTGTTCAGGTTCTCTTCTGTTTTAGAAGGAAAAGTGAACACCCAATGTCAAGAACAATGGACAATCTCTAAAGAAACCTATCACTTCCTGCACCCACCTCTTCAGAATCCTCTTGTCTTCCAAATCCCAAATCCAAACACTTCTCACCTCTAAGCCTCAGTGCTGTCTTCATTCTAACTCTCCTAGAATACACTAACATGCTATCAATTTCTAGATATTTCCTTGTTATTCAAGTAATGAATATCCTTACCTAAACATCAACCTTCTCAAAGGTTTACTTTCATTATATCTTGGAAACTAAGTCAAGAATGAATTCAATAGCCTATCCATTCATTTCAGCTGCACAAACATTTCTTGAGTACCTATTATCTGCTAGGCCCTAGGGACATAGAAATGATTATGATACCTCACCGCTCTCAAAGGAGTTCTTACTATAGTTCTTACCAACTAGAAACCCATAAGGCTAAGTTATGGATGGGGTCATTATGGGAAAACAGAAAACACTCAAAAACTAAATGAAAAAGGAAGAATATGCTATCTCAAACAGGTTTCATAGAACCACATTCAAAAGCAACCCAATTAAAATTTTATTAGTGTAGATATTACTTGGGCATGCACTGCGCCTCCCTCTCCACTAGAACCTTGGATTCCTAGAGCCTCCTTCCACATCCATAAGGTAATTTCAAGTCACCAAGTGACCTTTATAAGTTTATTCAGATAAAAGACCTGGATATCACTCAAGAGACAGCAGTTTAAAGACATACCCCACACCCAGACTCTTAAAATCAAAACATATTAAAATTATTTTGAAATTAACTTGAATTAATTCACTTATGAATTAATTTATTATTTCATGTAAGTAAGCAAGCATCTGGGTACTGGGCATAGGTCAAAAGCCAATATTCCAGAACCAGTTCTCTCCTTTGATTTTATTGATGTAGGGGCTCTCTTCTGATTTTGCAGTGCTTTGTACTATAGTTTAACTGGCCCAGAGCTTTTGGGCTCCTGTCTTTGCCTTGCATCCCCCTATGGGAGTGATTGGGATTAGAGATGTACACCATCACAGTCCCAGGGATGAAACTCAGGTCGGTAGGTCATCAGAAATTCCTTTACAGTCCATTCCAAGACTAAAGGTCCTTCTCTCTCTCTCTCTCTCTCTCTCTCTCTCTCTCTCCCTCCCTCCCTTCCTCTGTCCCTCTCTTTCTTCCTCCTTCACACACTGTCTTTCTCTCTCCCTCCCTCTGTCCCACTCTCATTTCCTCATCCTCCTCCTTCTTCCTCTCTCTCTCTCTCTGTCTCTCTCTGTCTCTCTCTCTCTCTGTCTCTCTCTCTCTCTCTCTCTCTCTCCCTCCCTCCTTCTCACCTCTCTATTGCTTTCTTCATGACTTCAATCTATTACCCCTTTCCTTTTCTCCCCAATCCCCTCCCTAACCCCTCCCAACACCTCTGATCTCATCCAAAACGAGGCAAAGGGCTCAAATGTTCTTTCTACCCTTTAGCAGAATTCCCATCGGTCTCAGACTGTCAGAGAAAACTTCCATCTCCTGCTTATACTGGCAAAGTCTTAATGACAACAGATTCTTTCAAATAAAGACATGTACAGACAGAAACAATATGTCAGGAGTGACGCTCAAAGGAGTAGAGACACCCACTAAGTGTAGGGTGGGAAAAGATGAATATTCAGGTGAGGACAACATCAGTATTAGAAAATCAGCCGGTGTTTAATGATGGAGTGAAAGATGCCTTCATGGGGCTGCCAGGAACCACGATGACAACAGACCGCGCATTGTCATTTCGCCTCACTTTGGATCACAGCTCTGAAATCAAAGGAGGAAGACAGAGAGGTGCTGGCTTTTAAGCTAGTTAAAAATTTTAGATGACAAAGAGCTGCTGTTTTCAGACATTCTTCTGATAGTCGGAGAGACAGCCTATGACACAGTCTGCCAATCACCGCTAAGTGACTTCACTTCCATCCTAAGGGCCACTGAGTGTTCCCAGAGAGGATGGTTTCCAACCCATTAGGATCAGAGTAGGGACACTGGCAGGATAACAAACCAACATAGGCTACCCATCCCCAATAGATCAATTAAAGAGACAAATTAATAGTGAAAAGGAGAAAAAAGAGACGCACTCAATGTGGCCAATAGGGAACAGGAACAAGGAGGTCCAGTGATTCCCGAGTCCATCTTTATGGTCCTAAGATGATATTTAGTTTTAAATGGAAAGCCAGAGGTATGCACAGCTAAGCATTCTGTTCAAGGAAGAGTTCTGCTTTTCTCCAGTTGTCTCAGCTCAGGTGGCTCCTGCAGCAGAAACTGACCAGCTGTAACTCTCTTTCAGAGAGACAAGCTCCCTCTGGTTGGCACCAGGTTTCCAGGCTTTTCCTTCTTCTAGCATGAGATTCTGAAGGAAATTCCAAATTTCTTGTAACCTACAGGCTGATAGCCGAAGGGAAGGGCACAGGTGACTCTTTGGAAGAGTATCTTTATCCCAAGGGGTCTGTGAGATGTTGCTCATTTTGAGTCTGATCCCTGTGGCCCACAGCAAAAGGAAGGAAATGATACCCGAGTCATCTTGTGACCCCACATGTGATCTGTGGTAAGCAAGCATCCCCAACACATGTCAAACACGCATATATACATACATACACACGCTAATAATAAATGACATACTTTAAAAAAAAATTAAACGGGACTAGAGATATAACTCTGCAGTTAAGGGCACTTTGTGCTCTTCTAGAAGAGCAAGTGCAGTTACTAGGATCCATAGCAGGCGGCTCCTAACAACTGTGACTGTAGCTCTAGACGACCTGACACCCTCAAGCGCACCTCAGTGGGTACTCATCACATGTAGCAAATACTCACACATACACAGAGACACAGAAACAAGACTGAAGATTTAAGCTTCAGTTAAATGAAGGAGCTAAGCAGGGTGCTGAGAAGGCAAGGAAACACAGAAAACAACTTCTGCTCTCCATCTGACCTGCGCTCTAGCATAGCGTTTACCTTCTAGCACAGTGGTTCTTGACTTTAGCAGGCATCCTCGTGACCCACGGGCTTGTTAAAGCACAGATGCAGGCCCCAGCCCTAGAGCTTCTTATCGAGGCGAGCTGGACCGAGGCCTGGAATTTATGTTTCTAATAAGTTCCCAGGTGATGCTGCCACTGCTGCCATCCTGCTGAGAACCAATGTCCTCGTGAAAACAACACCACAAGGACTAATAGTTGGGAAATTATGAGCGCAATGAGGCAGCCAGGAGTCTCCTTCCCAGTTCAGTCAACAGTCTACCTGTGCTACACAAAGCCCAGCTAACAGCCACATTCCCCAGGTCCTCCTGCCCCCTGACGACTTAAAATAGGCTGCAGCAGTCCTGCCAAGTGATAAGCTGGTGGGCGTCCAGCCTGCCTGTCCTGTGCTGGTCTTAGGAGATCTATTTCCCTTTGTTCTAGGTCGTGTCAAAGTGTCACAAGCTGCAGCTTCAATCCTGAGTATAATACAAGTTTGCCATAAAAACACAGGCGCAGATTGCCGAAGCCACAGAACGAAGGCTTTTACAATATCAATTCCACCCTTGTAAATTTAATCCAGGGTTATTTGTTACACCCAAATCTCCTTACCGTGATGTATGACTTAGTTACTGGGGTTATCACAGCCGTATCCTAAAGTTGCTTAGTACATAAAACATCTCAGCTAACAATGCAGGGAGGTTAACTCCCCCAGATAACCTGCAATCACAAGGGCTAGTGCAGATGACATCCCTCTGTCGGCTCACGGGAGCTATTGATGGTCCAATCAGTTTGTTTTGAAGGAAAAGAACAACAAAAGGCCAGTAAACTTATTCAGACTGTCAACAGGGGCTATCGGGAATGGGACTTGCAGGTAAGTAATTCTGGGTGTTTTAAGGCTATTATCAAACAGCAATGGTTGAAGGAAGAGACAGCTACTAATAACACAGAAGGCAGCCATCATAAACCACTTTATGGCAGAGCCCCCTTGTCCATAAATCCGGTGACACCCGGAGACAGCTTCAGATTTATAAAACTGCTTGTTAAGCCGGGGCAGTGCTTAATGAGAAGAGAT